CAGTAGTTGAAGGTTGCACCGTTGTCGGATTAGCTGTAGTTGTAGGTTGCACCGTTGTCGGAGCAGCAGTAGTTTGTAGTTGCTGCTGTTGTTGTTTGCTTCAGTAGTAGGTGCTGTTGTCGTAGGTGCAGCAGTAGTTGTAGGTGGCACTGTTGTCGGAGCAGCAGTAGTTGTAGGTGCTGCTGTTTTTTGTTGCAACAGTAGTAGGGGCCTGCAGTTGTAGGTGAAGCAGTGGTTGTAGTTTGCACCATTGATGGAGCAGCAGTATTTGATAGGTGCTGCTGTCGTAAGTGCAATAGTAGTTGGTAGGTTGCACCGTTGTCGGATTAGCAGTGGTTGTAGGTTGCACCGTTGTCGGAGCAGCAGTAAGTTGTAGTTGCTGCTGTTGTTGTGTCTTCAGTAGTAGGGGCTGCAGTTTTAGGGACAGCAGTAGTTGTAGTTGGCACTGTTGTCGGAACAGCAGTAGTTGTAGGTGCTGCTGTTGTTGTTGCAACAGTAGTAGGGGCTGCAGTTGTAGGTGTAGCAGTAGTTGTATGTTGCACCGTTGTCGGATTAGCAGTAGTTGTGGGTTGCACCGTTGTCGGAGGCAGCAGTAGTTGTAGGTGCTGCTGTTGTTGTTGCTTCAGTAGTAGGTGCTGCTGTCGTAGGTGCAGCAGTAGTTGAAGGTTGCACCGTTGTCGGATTAGCAGTAGTTGTAGGTTGCACCGTTGTCGGAGCAGCAGTAGTTGTAGTTGCTACTGTTGTTGTTGCTTTAGTAGTAGGTGCTGGTTGTCGTAGGTGCAGCAGTAGTGTAGGTGGCACTGTTGTCGGAGAGCAGCAATTTAGTTGTAGGTGCTGCTGTTGTTGTCTGCAACAGTAGTAGGGGCTGCAGTCGTAGGTGAAGCAGTAATAGTAGTTTGCACCGTTGATGGAGCAGCAGTAGTTGTAGGTGCTGCTGTTGTTGTTGCAACAGTAGTAGGTGCTGCTGTCGTAGGTGCAGCAGTAGTTGTAGGATTCACCGTTGTCGGATTAGCAGTAGTTGTAGGTTGCACCGTTGTCGGAGCAGCAGTAGTTGTAGGTGCTGCTGTTGTTGTTGCAACAGTAGTAGGTGCTGCTGTCGTGGGTGCAGCAGTAGTTGTAGGTTGCACCGTTGTCGGATTAGCAGTAGTTGTAGGTTGCACCGTCGTCGGAGCAGCAGTAGTTGTAGGTGGCACTGTTGTCGGAGCAGCAGTAGTTGTGGGTGCTACTGTTGTTGTTGCAACAGTAATAGGGGCTGCAGTTGTAGGTGAAGCAGTGGTTGTAGGTTGCACCGTTGTCGGAGCAGCAGTAGTTGTATATGCTGCTGTTGTTGTTGCAACAGTAGTAGGGGTTGCAGCTGTAGGTGAAGCAGTGGTTGTAGTTTGCACCGTTGATGGAGCAGCAGTAGTTGTAGGTGCTGCTGTTGTTGTTGCTTCAGTAGTAGGTGCTGTTGTCGTAGGTGCAGCAGTAGTTGTAGGTGACACTGTTGTCGGAGCAGCAGTAGTTGTAGGTGCTGCTGTTGTTGTTGCAACAGTAGTAGGGGCTGCAGTTGTGGGTGTAGCTTTAGTTGTAGGTTGCACCGTTGTCGGAGCAGCAGTAGTTGTATATGCTGCTGTTGTTGTTGCAAACAGTAGTAGGGGTTGCAGCTGTAGGTGAAGCAGTGGTTGTAGTTTGCACCGTTGATGGAGCAGCAGTAGTTGTAGGTGCTGCTGTCGTAAGTGCAGCAGTAATTGTAGGTTGCACCGTTGTCGGATTAGCAGTAGTTGCAGGTTGCACCGTTGTCGGAGCAGCAGTAGTTGTAGTTGCTGCTGTTGTTGTTGCTTCAGTAGTAGGGGCTGCAGTTTTAGGGACAGCAGTAGTTGTAGTTGGCACTGTTGTCGGAGCAGCAGTAGTTGTAGGTGCTGCTGTTGTTGTTGCAACAGTAGTAGGGGGCTGCAGTTGTAGGTGTAGCAGTAGTTGTAGGTTGCACCGTTGTCGGAGCAGCAGTAGTTGTAGGTGCTGCTGTTGTTGTTGCAACAGTAGTAGGTGCTGCTGTCGTAGGTGCAGCAGTGGTTGTAGGTTGCACCGTCGTCGGATTAGCAGGAGTTGTAGGTGCTGCTGTTGTAGGTGTAGCTGTAGTTGTAGGTTGCACCGTTGTTGGAGTAGCATTAGTTGTAGGTGCTGCTGTTGTTGTTGCAACAGTAGTAGGGGCTGCAGTTGTAGGTGAAGCAGTAGTTGTAGGTTGAACCGTTGATGGAGCAGCAGTAGTTGTAGGTGCTGCTGTTGTTGTTGGAACAGTATTGGGGGCTGCAGTTATAGGTGTAGCAGTAGTTGTAAGTGCTGCTGTTGTTGTTGCATCAGTTGTAGGTGTAGCAGTTGTGGCTACTATTGTTGTAGGGGCCGCAGTCGTAGGTGCAGCAGTTGTATGCAAAACGGTTGTCGGGGCAGCAGTTGTTGGAGCAGCAGTGGTAGGGACTGCAGTGGTAGGTGCAGCAGTTGTAGCCTCAGCAGTTGTAGGTGCTGTAGTTGCCAGGTCAACTGTTTTAGCCTCATCAGTTGTAGTTGGTGCAGTTGTCAGGGCCACAGTCGTAGGTGCAGCAGTTGTAGGTGCAGCAGTTGTAGGTGCAGCAGTTGTAAGTGCTGCAGTTGTAGGGGAAGCAGTTGTAGGTGCTGCAGTTGTAGGGGAAGCAGTTGTAGGTGCTGCAGTTGTAGGGGCCGCAGTTGTAGGTGCTGCAGTTGTAGGGGCATCAGTTGTAGGTGCAGCAGTCGTAGGAGATGCAGTTGTAGGCGCACCAGTTTTAGGTGCTGCTGTTGTAGGGTCAGCAGTTTTAGGTGCAGCAGTCGTATGTGAAGCAGTTGTTGGGGCAGCGGTCGTAGGCAAAGCAGTTGTAGGCGCAGCAGTTGAAAGTGCATTAGTCGTTGGGGCAACAGTCGTAGGAGCAGCAGTTGTGGGTGCTATTGTTGTAGGGGCAGCAGTTGTAGGTGCAGCAGTTGTAGGCTCAGCAGTTGTAAGCTCAGCAGTTGTAGCTGCTGCAGTAGTTGCAGCAGCAGTGGTAGGTGCATCAGTTGTAGCCTCGACAGTTGTAGGTGCAGCAGTCGTTTGCGAAGCAGTTGTCGGGGCAGCAGATGTAGCCGCATCAGTTGTATGTGCTGCAGTTGTAGGTGCTGAGGTTGTTGCAGCATTAGTCGTACGGGAGGCAGTTGTTGGGGCAGCAGTTGTAGGTTCTGCAGTTGTTGGCGCAACAGTCATAGGTGCAGCAGTTGTGGCTTCTATTGTTGTAGGGGCAGCAGTTGTAGGTGCAGCAGTTGTAGGAGCAACAGTAGTAGCTGCAGCAGTCGTAGGAGATGCAGTTGTTTGGGCAGCGGTCGTAGGCAAAGCAGTTGTAAGCGCAGCAGTTGTAAGTGCATTAGTCGTTGGAGCAACAGTTGCAGGTGAAGCAGTCGTTGGAGCAGCAGTTATGGGTGCTATTGTTGTAGGGGCAGCAGTCTTAGCCGAAACAGTTGTCGGGGCAGCTGATGTAGCCGCATCAGTTGTTGTTGTTGTAGTTGTAGCCACAGCAGTGGTAGGTGCAGCAGTTGTTGGGGCAAAAGTAGTAGCTGCAGCAGTTGTAGCCGCAGCAGTTGTAGGTGATGCAGATGTAGGCTCAGCAGTTGTAGTTGCTGCAGTGGTTGCCGCAGCAGTTGTAGGTGCAGCAGTTGTAGGCTCAGCAGTGGTAGATGCATCAGTTGTAGCCTCGACAGGTCTAGGTGCAGCAGTCCTTTGCGAAGCAGTTGTCGGGGCAGCAGATGTAGCCGCATCAGTTGTAGGTGCTGCAGTTGTAGGTGCTGAGGTTGTTGCAGCAGTAGTCGTACGGGAGGCAGTTGTTGGAGCAGCAGTTGTAGGTTTTGCAGTTGTTGGGGCAACAGTCATAGGTGCAGCAGTTGTGGCTACTATTGTTGTAGGGGCAGCAGTCATTGGTGCAGCAGTTGTAGGAGCAACAGTAGTAGCTGCAGCGGTTGTAGCCGCAGCAGTTGTAGGTGATGCAGTTGTAGGCTCAGCAGTTGTAGGTGCAACAGTAGTAGCTGCAGCGGTTGTAGCCGCAGCAGTTGTAGGTGATGCAGTTGTAGGCTCAGCAGTTGTAGGTGCTGCAGTTGTTGGGGAAACAGTCGTAGGTGCAGCAGTTGTGGGTGCTATTGTTGTAGGGGCAGTAGTTGTAGGCGAAACAGTTGTTGGGGCACCAGTAGTAGGTGCAGCAGTTGTAGGTACATCAGTTGTAGGTGATGCAGTTGTAGGCTCAGCAGTTGTAGGTGCTGCAGTAGTTGCAGCAGCAGTGGCAGGTGCATCATTTGTAGCCGTGACAGTTGTAGGTGCAGCACTCGTTGGCGAAACAGTTGTAGGGGCATCAGTTGTAGGTGCAGCAGTCGTAGGCAATGCAGTTGTAGGTGCACCAGTTGTAGGTTCTGCGGTTGTAGCTTCTGCAGTCGTAGGTGCATCATTCGTTGGAGCAGCAGTTGTAGGAGCAACAGTAGTAGCAGCAGTGGTTGTAGCCACAGCAGTTGTATCCGCTGCAGTTGTAGGTGCTGCTGTTGTCAGGGCAGCAGTTGTAGGTGCTGCAGTTGTAGGTGCTGCAGTTGTCGGTGCTGAGGTTGTTGGAGCAGTAGTCGTATGGGAGGCAGTTGTTGTGGCAGCAGTTGTAGGTGAAGCAGTTGTTCGGGCAGTGGTCGTATGTGCTGCAGATGTAGGTGATACAGTTGTAGGCACAGCAGTTGTAGGCAATACAGTTGTAGGTGCTGCAGTTGTCAGGGCAACAGTTGTAGGTTCAGCAGTTGTAGGTGTTGCAGTTGTCGGTGCTGCTGTTATAGGGTTAGCAGTTGTAGGTGCAGCAGTCGTAGGTGAATTAGTTGTTAGGGCAGCGGTCGTAGGCAAAATAGTTGTAGGCGCAGCAGTTGTAGGTGAAGCAGTTGTAGGTGCAGCAGTTGTAGGCGCAGCAGTTGTAGCCTTAGCAGTTGTAAAGACTGCAGTTGTCGGGGCAGCAGTTGTAGCAGTTGTTGATGCAACTGTTACAAATTGTCAATCGTTAGAGACCGACAGATATCTTAAGGGGAAATATCAGCTCAACATTCTAAGGCACACATTATTTGAAAGTTAGGAACCTAACCATTACTTAATGTAAAGCTCAGAATTGAGAGACACATTTCTCTATTTATGAATCTCTAATAAAATATTCCCTCATTTAACCCTCCTATTGTCTTCATTTTCCCTCCCTTACTTTGGTGTTCGTGGTGAAATTTGACATTAACACAAAAACCATTAATCATCACCAAATTTCATTTAACACCCTTTCAAACTGTACATATTGTATCAGACTACTGGTATACATGAAAAACTGCAGTACATATACAAAGAATAGACACTGAACATGTATTGTGTGTGCCAGGTGTGATCCATGTGGGGGGATGGGCACATAAGAGCGGGAAATGTGTCAAATTGTTCTGTGTGTGTTTGTGTGTGCCAGGTGTGATTCACATGGGGGAATTGGGCACATAAGGGGGGGGGGGGGCACATCTAGAGTATGTGTGTGTGTGGGTGTTTGTGTGTGTGTTTTATCTGATCCGTATGGTTACTAATTCCTTTTCTTTATGGCGATCATTTTTGACCGGGAACACCATGGGTGTTACAAAGTTGACTAAATCATCCAAAATTCAATGAAAGTGGTGATCAGCAATTGTATATGTTCTAATGTCTACTGTGAAGGATATCATAAAGCCTTAATGCAATCGAATGTAAAACAAAAAAGTTATGATTGATGAAAGTTGCAAATCGGTCAGATTTGACCCGAAGACAACAGGAGGGTTAAGCCTCTTTTGAACTCCTGGTAAAACCATTTTGTGTATCCTGATTAGGGACCTCAATTTTCAGACAATACAGTAATTATTAACCCAACTTTCAACATACATGTACTTGAGTTGTGTTAAGCAAAGAGCACACTTTACTTCTAGTGAGCAGTTACAATTGTTAACATTACTAACTGAGAAGCTCTTAAAGACTCCATGTAAAAGTTACATTCTTTGAATATATAGTGTATTTGGTGTTATTTACAGCCTTTCTTAGTCTTTATTAACCGATATAACATACTTTGACGACCGTTTTTTATTTTTTATTTAGTGAAGATATTTGTAAATCATTTCAAAAAGTATTTTGCAAGAGAACTGTCTATTAAATATTTCTTTTTTGTCAGAGGCAATTCACTTTGACAATGGTTGATGCTGCTTGTTGCTTGTGTGTTTTCATAAACAAGAGTCCAAATAAACTATGCACCACTCCTTGTTCTCTATTTTTTGACAAACATGAATCTCTGATAAAACAAAGGCTGAGACCTGCTGACGGACACTATTGTGAAATTTAGTTAAAGGAAATCACACAGCAGAAAATTGTGTGAGATGCTCTGACGGCTAGAGTGTTATTTTCTAGTGTGGCTATTTTTACTTGTTTGACAATACTAAACAAGATAACATTAGTATTTGTCACCTAGTAAAATATTTATATTGTACAGTGATCAGTGAAGCAAGGGTAATTTGTACATCACTATTTTAATAATTTGTTAACATTCATTTTACATAATTGTCTTATTATTCTAGTGATGATTTAATGGACAACGTAATCAATTACGTACCTCAATTTTCAGACATTTTCAAATTAATCATTTTTAAAGTAGGCAATTTAGGCAAAATATATATTGCATGCAGAAAGACAAATTACTCGCCAAAACTGCATGAGATAAGCACTAGGTTGACATGTTGAGCCTGTTAATAGGAGACTCATAGTGTCCCTTAGAATACATTTGTATTCAGATATGTGGAGCTGAGAGGTCAAGGGATCCCTGTGAATATGACAAAGCCAATTTCTTCCTTGCCAGAGTTTACCATTTTTCTTACACCATTATTTAAACACATCCGTAACAATCTACCAAGAGCCTGCTACAGCCTCTTAAAGACAGTAAAATGTCCTATGGCGAAACAGATTGTTTTAAAAGGTGATTAACAAGTGAAACTAGACACTGTTTCTTTGTTTTGGACATATTTTATGAGTTGCAAGGACTCCACGTTAACTTCCTGTTGTGTCGTTTCCTACACATTTTCCACACCTTTTTAATAAAAAACCTTCATAGTAATCGTTATATCATCACACAACTTACCTATTAAAATCAGGGAAATTGATATGATCCGTCCGACATCCATCCTCTTTTCCTTTGAATCTATAAAATCAAGCAATGCATATATTTACTCACAAAAGAGGCATGTCAAAACCCTTTTCACTCCAGTTACTAGAACTATTAATACTTCAGTAGTACAAAGTCTGCAAATGATAGTATTCGGTGTTGCAGTAATTTTATGTTTTAAAACTAGAGGTAACTAAAACATCCAAAGTAAAACAGTTCGATACCAACAAATGTATAACAATAGGTTCCCACCTCATTATAATCCATGTTCTGAATCCCATATATTTTACACTTTGAAACAATTTTGATGAAACAAACTTTCTATCCTGTGAAAGTCATATATTTTTCAGCAATTCCAACAAATGATTGTAATATTCAGACAAAAACTACTTCACAAGCACACACATTGGTCACTCGTGAAAAATTAGGCATTCTATACCTATCTTTAAAAGAATGACATTTATAATAGAATAATTTTGCATTTTAATCCCCTTGCAAAAGGAAATGTTAGAACATACTACGTGAAATGGAAAACCCATATTAAATGGTAATTCTTTTTGGGGTGAAAAACTTGATTAACACACACACACACACAGCTTTTAGACAAAAGTCTGCATATATTGACTTAAAAATGTACTTACCCATCATAAAATGATATAATATGAAAAGTTATAAATTCCACTCTTCTATCTGAAATCAATGTACCAAACAATTTCAGTGTCTTATTCATATAGTCCTGGTCACGCCTGTGATGATGCAAACCTCTCACCTCATGTTGCAGTCCACATCCCTCAAGGCTTTATGTTGGAATTAACTAAAGGCTTATGACGGGGCTCAAAGGTCAGACATTTTTTAAATATGTTGCAACACCTATATCAGGATTCATATTATTGGCTCTTTGTCTGTCATTTTCAACATTTACAACATCAAAGGATAATCTCCTCTTTTGTCTGTGGAACGGGTTTCCTGTGCATTCCATCTATGCTAATGTTAAAGGAAGTTCCAACAGTAGGACAGAAGGCTATGACAAACAACACATTATATTTCTTGTGAAATGCTTATGCAGGAAGCAATGCAAGCAACAAAAAAGAAAAGGAATTACATATTCAAACATAAGAAAAATGCTATATGATTATTGAACAACTTTAAGAAACACAACAGTAGTATTCATATAGACATAACAGAAGAGGAATGTCTCTCATTGTATCTCCTAAGTGTCTGTTTATGACTTATATGATGCCGCATGTAATTACTATGTATTATAAATGGTAAATACTAACCTCTATTTTAAATTCACCCTCAATTTCAATTTAAAATACAGCAATTTGAATGTGAACAATTGTAGCACATTGTTGTAATTAAGACAAATATATATGAGCTATTTATACAGGGTGTCTTAAGGGTTCACCACATTACAAGTTATTGTATCATTTTCGTTCAGTTTCTTTGAGTATATAATTCTTATAATTATACTTAATTAGATTAAAGAGATCTGGACCAGGATAAATTACTTAAAATGGATGGATTAACAGATCAAAGTTAACAAATTGATTCAAGTTTCTCAAAGCTTCTGCTTGAATTTACATGAATCCCCTATTATTAGTCAATAAGCTTCTTAAGCTACTGTGGCTCAAAATAGAAACAGTGCTTGCTTTAGATCTGATGGTGCTGACAGAAATTCCACAAAAAAAGGATTCAAGTATTTGACATCTCCAGCTCACAATCAAATATAAAATGATTTTAGGACTAACTTATGTTTAATAGTTATCACGACCTGTAGTTATCTATTTTCTCTTATATTTTCTTGGGTTAACTTTTCTTTTGTTTCCTTAGCACAATGGCATTTCATGGTTCTGTGTAGCTCCATTAAAATGACTTCTTTAGGTAATAGCTGCAGTTAGTAATGTGTAACTGTGCAATACTCTGCATTAATAATCACACTGTGCAAAACTCTTATCACTTTGGCACTTTAAGTGTAATCAGGGGCGGACTGGCCATCGGGACGTTCGGGACGAATCCCGATGGGCCCCGTCAACAAGTTGCTAGCGGTATTTGCTTGCGGTACCGAGGTGGGCCGGCGGTACCGAAGCGGGCCGGTCGAGAGTCCCGGGCTGATTTGTAGTCCCAGTCCGCCCCTGAGTGTAATAAACGTTTTATTTCAAAGGTTAATATGGCTTTCAGCATTGATAGGTAGCATAGCATATATAGCATACACTATACTGTATGATAAGATGTGGGGTAAATAGAGGCAGTATGGCTAAACATTTAGTATATTGTTCAATAGGGCTGCAAAAGGTTTATAAAATGTCAGTAAACAGTGAAAAATGTACACAAATTCCCAGAGCAAAATCATATAACATCTTCATACAAAAAAGAAAAAGAACAATTATTTTGTTTAGAATGCCCCCATGTTTAGACACGTGTGCCTTCATTAAAAGTAACTTAAACAATCTACTGTTTCTAAATTGTTGTGGTTTAATTCATTAATTAGATCAGCTAATCGATGTACGATTCACAATGGCTACTGTAAGACGCAAGTGTAAAATTATATTTTAGGAAATCTTGAGGATAGCAATAAGGTACTGTATCACAGATTATGAAATAAACATTATAACATACATATTTATATATGTGTATTTGTATTAAATATATCTGATCATTAGGAAGACAATAAAAGAAATGGACAAAAAAAATGCAAAGCTCTTTTTACATATATGAATGATAGTATAAATACACCAATAACTACAGTGAAAGTAATTATATATTTTGACAATACAGTAATTATTAACCCAACCTTCAACATAAATGTGCTTGAGTTGTGTTAAGCAAAGAGCACACTTTACTTCTAGTGAGCAGTTCAAATTGTTAACATTACTAACTGAGAAGCTCTTAAAGACTCCATGTGAAAGTTACATTCTTTGAATATATAGAGAACTGTCTATTTTCTTTTGTCAGAGGCAATTCACTTTGACAATGGTTGATGCTGCTTGTTACTGAAGGAGGAATGTGTCTCTCAGTCTGCCTGGAGGTGTTTTTATAAACAAGAATCTCACAACCAAATACACTATGCACCACTCCTTGTTTTCTCTTTCTTGACAAACATGAATCTCTGATACAACAAAGGCTGAGACCTGCTGACGGACACTATTGAAATTGAGTTAAAGGAAATCACACAGCAGTCCGATTGTGTGAGATGCTCTGACGGCTAGAGTGACTTTACAGTGGCTGGTTTTACTTGTTTGACAATACTAAACAAGACAGTATTAGTATTTGTCACAGTAAAATGTTCCTATTGTACAGTGATCAGTGAAGCAAGGGTGATTTGTACATCACTATTTCAATAATTAATAATTAACTATAAGATTAATTTTACATAATTTGTCTTATTATTCTAGTGATAATTTAATGGACAATGTAATCAATGGATTTTATATCAAATTAATCTAAAGCTACAAGACCTAAGACATTATGAATTATTTTTTCACTGACTTCGTTTTTATCGAGAACAAATAATTTGTTCATACGAGTGATGGCATTCAATTCAAAACAGCAACGGTTTTATTGCTGATTTGAAAGTTGCTTCGACATCAGCAAGAGGAAGGATGCGGTGACAAGACTGATGTTGTTTCTTACTCCACTTGAAACTGGAAATGAGAGAAAAAACCAAACATTTGTTTAACAAAAAGCAGTGACCCTTGTAAAAAATGTTTATCAAGTAGCACTCTGCCTTCAATGTCGAAGCTGACGACTGTTGAAACTGTGCTGATTATAACACTCGCAACCTGAGTGCTATTAGGAGCAAATGTGATCACAAAGATAAGGTCAATGAGGTTGACGATTGATCCCTTACTGCGGAAGGAGAACTAAAATGGTTTGAAATATCCATTTTGTCTACCATGATTTATTTTATCCTGTTGTAGGTGCTGCAGTCCCAATTGCTGCGGTCAAAGGAGCAGCCATTGTTGGAGCAGCAGTTATTTGTGTAGCAAGGAACAGCAATCGTTGGTGCTATAGTAGTTGTAGCTGCTGATGTCGTAGGGTCTCAGTTGCTGCAGTTATAGGTGCAACTATAGTTGGTGCTGCAGTCGTAGGAGCAGTGGATGTAGGTGCTACTGTTTTAGGTGCTGCAGTTGTAGCTCCTGCAGTCTTAGGTGCTGCAGTCGTTGTCCCGGCAGTAGTTGGTGATTCTGTTGAAGGAGCAGTAGATGTAGGTGCCGCTGTCATAAGAGCAGTGATTGTAGGTGCAATGGAGCTGCTTTCAATGTCAAAAACGACAACTATTGCAGATGCGTTGCTCAAAACGCTCACAATTTGAGTGTTATCAGGAGTAGATGTACTTTCGAAAAAAAGTCGAACATTATTTAAGACTGATCCATGTCTGCATAAGAAGAAACAAACTATTTAGGCTACTATTCTTTAATTGTAACACCAAAAACGTTTGCAAATGGGGATCCTTTATGCTCATGGCTGCATTTCCCCCTTTAGATATCCGATAACCCCCTTTAGATATCCGATTTCCCCCTTTAGATATCCGATAACCCCATTTAGATATCCGATTACCCCATTTAGATATCCGATAACCCCCTTTAGATATCCAATTACCCCCTTTAGATATCCGATTTCAACACTTGTGCATGTTATTCTTGCAAAAGAAAGATAAGCAGTTATGATTGATTAACTTTACTAACTGAGCAGCTAAGACTGTATATGTATTATATTATATATTTATACAAAGATCAAAATAAATACTGTATGTTTGTTATTTACAGCCCTTACCAAGGTGTCTGACTAAAATTCAGCCAGAGATTAAATAAATGCTTTAAACTTTTGCAAGATACATGTCTATTAAAATGCTTCTCTTGTGATAGGCATTACAAAAAAAATCACGTGATTTAAGCAGCCATTATTTTAATAAACAAGAATCCGATAACAAAACAAAGTAAGCACCACTGCTATTGATTTGACTGCCGAGACTTGGTTGCACTCGCTCATCCCGGATAATAACACGGCTCTCCCCGGCTTCACGAGTGTTCGGGCGGATGAAGGCTATCACTGGCTTCAAAGGGAGAGACAGACTGACTGTGGGCACCCTGGAGAGGGCCAACGAGCTGAACACCTTCTTCAATAGGTTTAGCTCTCCGCCCGCTGCTGTCTCCTCCACTTCCTCTTCTCACCTCACCTCCTCCTCTCAGCCTGGCGTCAACATCCCCCCTCTGCTCACCACCTACACTTCACACCTCTTCTCCACCACCCAGCCTGGCTTCTGCACCCCCCCTCTGCTCACATTGCCGCTGACCCCCCCCCCCCCCTCTGCTCATCTTGCCTCAGACACCCCCCCCCTCTATCCCCCCTGCCATCAAGCCCCCCCCCCCGCTTCACTGTGAGCACAGGACAGGTCCAGAGTCAGATGGAAAAACTCCACCAAGGCAAGGCTGCTGGCCCTGATGGTATCAGCCCCAGGGTCCTGAGGACCTGTGCACGCCAGCTGGCTCCTGTTCTCCAGTATATATTCAACCTGAGCCTGCACCTGGAGACCATCCCGGTGCTGTGGAAGACATCATGCGTTGTTCCGGTCCCTAAAAAGACAACTCCTTCTGGGCTCAATGACTATCGCCCTGTAGCACTCACATCTCATGTGATGAAGGTGCTTGAGAGACTGGTCTTGGCCCATCTCAGACCGCAGGTGAGATCATTCCTTGACCCTCTGCAATTTGCCTACCAGCCTCACCTGGGGGTGGACGATGCCATTATTTACCTGCTGCAGCGTGCTCACT